ACCCCTGCGCCTGCCTGCTCACATTCTGCTTGTATTCAGGGGCTTTTTGTCCCCCAGGGGACTTATGACAATGTGTGGAGATGTTTTGAGTTGTTCCAACTGGGGGGGGGCGGGGTTTGTGGGCATCTAGTGGGTGGAGGCCAGAGATGCCGCTGAACACCCAAGATGCCAGGAAAACCTTCATAACAAAGAATAGTCACCCCCGTTGTTGCTGAGGCTGAGGAGCCCTGCTGAAAGGTGGGCAGGCTTCTCTGCAGGGGGCTCTGTATCTGGGGGGAACCCACTCCGATGGAGCCACTCAGGAGGGTCACGGAAGGGTGAGCGATGCACAGATAGGGAGACCCTGGTGCAGTAGAAGAGGACAAAAAGCGTCCTTCTTGGGTAACTTGGGGCAGTCTGTCACTTCTCAGGGACCCATCCGCAGCAGCTCGGCACCCCAGCGCTTCACTCTGTCCTGGAGTTAGCGCCTCTGGCCGGAGGTCTGGACCCCGTGCATGCTGCTTTCCAGTTTCTTCACAGGACCACCTAGGCAGCCAGAAGCGGGGTCCTGTTCTCCACCCTGGAACCCCTCCTCTTTCTCCCCCTTAGCATCTGTCTTTTATAGGTGCCTTGATTCCCAGTCTGGACTCTGACCTTGCTGAATGGCCGGCTGTCCTCTGAGTGCCCCGAAAGAATGCCATGCCCTCCCTGAGAAGGGGAGCGGCCTTCTTGTGTGTCTGTGAGTGTGGCAGCAGCACACCCTCATGCTTGCGAGCTTTCTTCTCCCACCACGTCCGCTATCTTCTGCCCCAACCAGGTGAACTGGGGAAGTCGCTACCCGTGGTAGAGGTTCTGTTCAGGACATGACTCGAGGTTTAAAGCAGGACCACCAGCCCTGTTGCCTTTCTCAGAACCAAGGTCACCTCTCCTTCCGGGGAGGCCTGGTGAGTTCCCAGATGGAAAAGTGCAGGTTTTCGGGTCTTTGCACCGGTGCAGAGGTCAGCTGAGGGCAGAGGGTCTCTGCTGGGGTCAGGGTGGAGGGCTGGTGTGATCTAGACACTCAAGCAGAGAGGAAGCAATGGAGCACTCCAGGGTCGTTTTGGTCCTTGAGTTTGGGTTGTACTCACTGCAAAGATTCCTCCCTCCTCCCACCCTACCTTGGTTTGAAGGCTTCACCTCCAGTGAAGACCTGAGCCAAGATGCAGAGTCCAGCAGGGGGTTTGGAGGAGCCAGGGCCGCCCCAGCAGGGCGGACCCAGGTGGTCCCCTTCTGGCCTGGGCAGTCCAGGTTGGAGGCCTCACTCAGGACTTCGGCATCGGTCACGTGCCTTTCTGCTGGACAAGGAGTCTTCCGGCTCCTGGGATGTGCTCCCCTTCCGCCTTTCCATGGTTTGGATTCCTGAGACAGCAGAATTCACTGCAGGCGGTCCTCAGCCTTTCTCCAGTGCTGGCGTGGGGCTGTCTATGGGAAGGCTGAGCTGGCTGCTGAGATGTGTGCCCTAGGCTGAGGAGGGTAGAGGGGCGGCTGGAGCACTTGGAGCCTGAACCTGTGGGCTGCTGATTGTGGAGACTGAGCCAGAGTAGGGTGTGCGGGCGGGAAGGCCAGAGGCAGGATTACTACTGTGTCTGGTTGCAAGGGAGCTGTGAATGCTTAGCTGCACCCCGTCCTCCAGGTTATTCAGAGAGGAGGCAATTTCCATACTGCACAGCTTGTTGGCCTGGTTCGGAATTCTTGAATATGTGCATGGTAGTAAATGGGCTTCCTTTAAATTAAACCTCGGTCCTCAAAAATATCCAGGGTGGCCCTGGCCCTGGCACGGGCCTGGAGGCTGTTTAATCCTTGAACCACGTGGTCTTAGCCTGCATCATCAGTGCCTGCCCACCTGCCCCAGCCCCACCTGCCCTACCTGGCCACTCTTCCGGGGTCAGTCGCCCGCCTGCAGCTCTCAGGGGGCTTTTCAGAGTGGATGACACGGGTGGGAAGTGCTTGTGCCATTCCCATGAGACACACTGTCCTCTGAAGCTTCAGATCCCAGGCCCAGGCGCCCAGATGAGCCCCACTCCTGTCCAACCCTGTCGTCCAAGCTCAGAATGTGTGCTTGTGGAACTCTGTGCTTCCAGTCTGGGAATGTCCCCTCTCTGACAGTTACCTGAGGCAGAATGACTGACTGTGTACCTGGACGGGACCAGGGCTTTACTGGGGGACGGCCTGAAGCGGGAAACCCCGCAGCCCCCGACGCAGCTGAGGACACGTGGCTTCCCTGCACTTCTGCTGAATGCCAGGCTCAGGCCGGCAGCTCGAACCGGGCTCAGCACCCTGCTGCACCACACACTCATCCTCCTAAGGAAGGGTTCTGGCTCTTGCTTGGCGAGGCCCTGGGGCTGTCACCCACCCGGTGAGCAGAGGCCTGGCGCACTTCTGCCCTCTGGGGTTCCGCCTTTGCCTGGGCTAGGTGCCCTTGTCCTCCAAACGCCAGGCCTGGTTCCCCGGCGTGGGGGGTGGGGGCGGAGGCAGGAGGATCACGAGAGGGCGGAGCCGGCTCTTCAGACACACACGGGGGCTCCGGCGCAGGGCGCCCGGATGCAGCTCAGGGTGAGGGCCTTGGGTTCAGTTCTGTGTACCACAAAGGAGAAGGAAGAGGAGGAGGAGGAGAAGAGCTCTTTTGAGATCCCAGTAAAAGCTCTGGAGCCTCTGCCTAGAAGTGAACACAAGTATAAAATTCTGCCCGTCATTTTAGGTCCTTCAGAGACTCGCAGGAGTCCAGACGCCAGATATGAAATGCTGCGCTGCCCTGCAAGCTATCAGAAATCCTGTGTGGTTTATTATCGTGCCCCCAGCACCTAGAAACGCACTTTTCATGGAATAGAAGCAGGGAGTTTGTGTGGAGTAAAGGAATGGTAGCCCCAGTGTGCCTGCAGACTCCCGGGTGAGAGAATTCTAACATCGGGGCCTGAGAGATAAAAGGCATTAGGTCTTATAAATGACGTCCCAGGAAAATCTGGAAGGCCAAGCCATGCGCAAGACCCTTGAGCCTTGTTGAGGCTGCAGTGGGCTACCTGGGGGACGGATTGTGAAACCTGCTCTAGAAACAATCAGACGGGGAATTGGATAAATTGTTGGAGTCAGAGAATAGGAAAGCTTTGGGAACCTAACTGGAACCATGTGTGGCCACATATTGTTTTTCTCAGAGAAACGGCCTAATTAGATCTTAATTCCATATTGTCCTACGGTATTGGACGCATGGTAAGCAGGCCCTCACGGTATACAAACTGCCTCCACTTCTGAGAAGGACTAAGAGGAGGGCGAGACCACCTGGGGAAAGACCCCACAGACTGGTATGGATTTGATTTGTCACAAGCGCCGAGACCTGGGAGCCTTATTCATTTCGGACTTATTGATTATGAGCACTGAATACCAAACCCTTAAGGCAGCAGGGACTTGCTGGAGCCCATATCACACAGGGCCCCTGCCTTTGTCTTTGCGTTTAATTGCCCTGAAGTCTTCCTCCCCTTTGGGCTGTCCCCAGAGCCCCTTCCTTGGCATGGACACCAGCGCCTCACGCGCCGCCCAGCATGGGGCTTCCTCGGTGGGCGCCCTGGAAGCCTAGTTTGGTTTCAGGACTTAGCAAGCGCTGCTGCTCTGCAAAGGCAACAGTTCCGTTCCCCAAACACACAGAAGCATCGGAGTTCACAGCATGTGCTTTACAAGGGCAATAAAGTTTTATATGCAGCTCAGTGAAATACCGAATACAGCCAATTATGCACCAAAATAAATGGATGGGAGAGAATGGCTATATTTGGCTCAGACTTAATTATTTTGCATTTGAACTTCTCGATTCCATGTACTAAAATTCCATTCTGCCCTATTTCCTGGTTAGGTTACTGAACCCTGACTCCAGTAACCGAGCACTTCGGTGGAGTAGACTGCCCAATGTCAGTGGTAAGAAAATGCGAGAGGTTTGACATCAATTACAAAATTACACACAACATAAAATTTAACAACTTGAATCAGGCTTTCATTGCTCTTTAAAGAGACTCTATGGCTTTTTAAGATCTAAAAATTCATCAGTTTCTAAGAGTCATACCTTTCTGAAATGCACAGACCTTACTCTCAGCTTGAAATGGAAGAAGAAATCTCTTGTTTCTGTCTCTGTGTCTCCCTCTTTCATTTAAAAATAGGATTTAATTTCTTCAGTTTTTATTTTTCTAAGGAAGCACTTTCCTTTAATGAAAGAAAGAGTAAAAGACATAGACCTTGGATTGTTCTCCTAAGATGGTAAAATTCTAGGGAGAGTGCGGCCAGAGCACGAAGCTCTCGGACTCGGCCATAAACGCGGAGGCCTGGTCCAGCAGACTGACTGCCCTTCTCCGTGGCTGTGTCCAGGCCTCCAGGCAGCCTTCTCTCCACCGCTCCTGGGTGCCTGGCCATCTTATAAAACACCACCGTGATCCTGCAGTCTTGGTCCCTAACAGGCCACCACGAAGCAAAGACAGGGCGAGGGCTCGAGCTCCTGAGGGAGTCTGGTCCCTGAGGGCCAGCCCTGAGGTCAGCAGGGGGACAGGGTGGACAGCTGACAGCTGTGGTGGCAGCAGGACATGGGGCTGCTTTCTGTTCCCTCCAGGTGGACGGCCTGCTAGGAGCTGAACACGGCAGGCGCCATGGTCCCTCAGCACGCCGTGCAGCAGGCGCCTTGAGTGAGCACCTGGGTAGCGACTTTGTGCACAGCGTGGTCACACTGTGTGATGGATCGTGTCTTGGGAAGGCATAGCCCCGAAGTCTCAGTGAGGCCTGGGCCAAATGTGCATAGTGCTTAGGGGAGAAAGGGGGCGTGCCCCGAGGTGCTTCTGCGTCTTGGGCAAGGGTGCTCTGGAAATCTCAGTACAGTGGACCCTTGACCTACGAACTCCATTGGCTCCCAAGGGCTGGTTGTAGCTCAAGTTGGTCAATGAAGGCTCAGGCTCCTCCCCACAGCCTTCAGTCTCTCTCCTGTGCACAGGCAGATCTCAGTGTCCTCAGAGAGACACTGACCCAGGATTTCTCAGTGAACCCCACACAGGAGAGGATGCTGTCATGTTCCTTCCAGACTCTCTAAGGGTTAGATCTGCACCCGAGACCATCTGGAAGCACAAGCGGCTGGGATTCAAGTTGTAACTCAAAACTTTGGTTGTAAGTTAAAACTAAAATTCTGGTCACAACCCAAGTTGTTTGTATGTCGGGCCAGTTGAAACTCGAGGGTCCACTGTAAGTGCTTCAGCTTTCCAGTGTTCTCTTGTGCAGATCTGAAGAGATTTGCAGGACATAGAAACAGCCTCAGTCTTAAACCACAGGAGGCCACACGATAAAATTCATCCCAATACTGATACATGGACAATACACACTCACACCTTGCACACACGCAATACAGGGGACATTGAAGAGGCCTGAGGAGATTTTATTTTTAGAGTTTTAAGGACAGCCTCCTCCCCTGTCAGTTTTGATGTCACAGTGGGCATCGGTGGCACCTTACCACAGTCCCAGTTTGCAGTAGGGCTCACTCTTGGGATCTTCCTTAGGTCTGGACAAATGCGTGATGACCTGTATCCGCCACATGAGTTTGTTTTTTACTCAAGTTGTTTTGTAAGAGGCAACTTCGGCAACATCACTTTCCTTAATAATGAGAATTTAAAAAGGATCACAAAACTGAAGAAACTTTGCTACTTAAAATATTGTTATTAAAGAATCTAGTATATGAATTTGTTGCTATTCCTCTTGGAGATATAGTCAATCAGTGATGAAATCAGTGATGAATGGAGACCACCGTGGTGCTGTCCTTTAGAAAACACTTAACCCACAGCGGGGAGAACTGGGGACAACGAAACCATTTTTATTGCCATGCTTGTCTCAAATCCAACATAATTTTATGAGAAAGTCATTAAACTTGTAACTACTGCGTTATCTTTTTCCTTGGACCATTTCTGAAACAGCATTACCTTTTCACACTTCACATTTCAAACATTAAAAACATTAATAGATGCTTTTACATAAAAAGCAAAGGACTAGGTTTCCCATCATAAAATGTTATGTTGTTTACACAAAAACCAAAGCTAACCTCGTAAAACTCCAGTGATTTCCCAGTGGGGTCCTGGGGCCCTTGGCTACAGCAGGCGCCACACTGCTTTCTGATGCTGACTGAGTTCCTGTGAAAGGCTCTGGCTCTCGCCGTTACTAATTGGGCTTTTCAAGGGGGGCAGGGCAGGCAAACAAGCATCTTCTCTCCCCTAAAGGCCCGAGTGGACACCTCTGAGGAACGGGGCAAATAATCCGAGGTGGAAGAATCCCACCCAAATGGCCTCTCTGGCCCCTCCAGCCTGCATCTCCACACTCCTCGGGCAGAGTCCCTAACTCTGCAGCTCCTCACTTCCCTCTAGGGCCCTTGGGCAAGTGGCAGGACCATGCTCCTCCTCGGCAGGAGAGGTACGAGGCCTTCTCCGGGGACACCTGTCCACTGGTGTGGCCTTCACTAGAGACCACATGTTCTTTCAAAACCTTCCATTAGGTGTCAGCAACTCTTAAAATACTAATGGCGAGATTTTTCGCCAGGCTGCCTAAAGTGGAATAAAGCAAGCAAAGCCAAGATGCTTTGCAAAGCTGAAGGGGATTGCCTCTTCTCTGATATCTGTTTTCCTGGTGAAGACGAGAATAAATATTTAAAATTAATTGTTTCTTTTTCTATGAAGATAAAGATGCAAACTGCTTTGACAGAATTAAATGTGAAGATCGGGTGTCCACTCACAGAACACGACAACTTACTTATTCTGCAACTTCAGAGAAGTGCTCTCACGTAGAATTATTCACAGATAAGGCATACTACAAGAATCCACTCATTTATTTATTTTTATTCCCCCAGTTGCCTTCTTTGGAGACACCCAGTAAGCATTGTTTTTGGATTTTCCCTTGGATATAAGGTGTACGATCTATGGACCTCCAAGTGATACCAGGGAAATATTATAACTCCCAAACGGCTGGATGTCCAAAACGCTGAGTTCATGTTCTCTAAAATCCAAGAATGAATTCTAGGAATGACAGAGGTCAAGAGTAGGAAGAATTTATTGAGGGAAAGAGAGACAGAAGTGGGTATGGATAGTGGGTTACCCGTGGACCCCACTTCTCAAGGGAGTTTTATTGAGCAAAGCCACAAGGTGAGGTGGGTTCAAAGTGGGACAAAAACTACAGTCAACCAATAAGATTACAGGTACAGTCACTTAGGTAATATTGATTAAATGGAGATCAAATGGGGAGGCAAGTCTCACAGCAAGCGTGCATGGACTGAACAAGGATTCTCCGAGAAGCAATGGGCTTGGGAGGTTTTGGTCCAAAGTGACTGATGCCTCTTTAGAAGATCAATCAGTGCTGTTCACCCCTAGGGGCAGTGTGTGGGTGTCATCAGCTCTCTTTGTCTGGAAACCTGGCCTTCAAAGAATGCGCCTCTAGTCACAGCTGTCCTCTGCACTGACTTCTTAGTGGACCTAGTCCCATCTGACTGCCTGTAACATTTCCAACTAACTTTGGTGTCTATAATGCCTTCACACTGGCAGGCGTAGGGAGAATAACATAGCAGTGTCTTTGACTGGGGAAACTGAGGCAAGGGTGATGTACTCTGCACTGTGTGATTCCACAATGTCCACACGCTGAGGACTCTGGGAACAGGGTGGGAATGTGGGCCTCCTCAGGGCAGAGCTCATGCTTTTAGAGGCTGTGTTGTCCTGCCCTCCAGGAAGGGTAAAGAATAGAGAGAAAGGGAACCAAGCCAAGATTGCCTTGAGAAAAGTTCCAAATCTGGCTGGGCATATCAAACAGAAACACCCTCGAGGACTGGCAACCTAAGGTGACGGGTAACAGGACAGCACAGTTAGTAAAGGCTGGGGACAGAGGCCGAGTCTGTCAGGGATGCCCTCCTGTGTGTCCTGAGACTCCATCTGGGCCTTGAAAGTGTGAACAAGATTCAGCTGGGCAGAGAAAGGGGGAGACCTTTGGAGGTCAGGCAGGTCACACAGGAGAGAAAGCTTAGCCATGGGAAGCTAGGCCAGGCCCGAGTTACTCAGGGCCCTGCGAGGCAAGGTGAGGCTCTGTAGAGGCCGGAGCAGATACCGCATTCTCTTCTCCCAATTCCGTCTGTCTATCCCTCTCTTATGTGGTGTTAGGTGCTCAGAATTGAAAGATGAGAAAGTCACAGTTCCCTCTGCGCTCTGTGTGCTCAGTGCCCACCTGTGTTGCTGGTGCTCAGTCGCTGATGAGAGGAAGGGTGAGTGATTGTGTGCTCTAAAGACCTCACAGCCTGGGGTAGACCGCACATCCGGATGTTTTGCAAGGTACTGACAGAAAGGCAAGAATGGAATCACGTGCAAAGAACAGAAGGCAAAGTGACTAGCTGCGTGGGCACAGGGAAAGGAAAGCTGGATGGTGGCATCTGTCAGCCTATCTGCTTGGCCACTGCAGGGCTGGACTGAGGGGATAGAATCCGTGGCCTGAGGGTCACACAGTTCTTTGGGGCTATGCTAAGGAACTTTGATTTGTACCCCGAGGAACCGAGGAGCACAGCAGCTTTCAATTGTTCGGGTGCCTTGGTAATACCTAGAAAGCACCTGGACTTCTAGATGCTGGGCCTCGCTCCAGAGCACATGATTTGGTAGGTTTCAGTAGGACCCAGAATCTGCAACTCTTACAAGGTCTCAGTTGGTACTGATGCTACTGGGATAGCACAGGGACTCGAGTCAGGGGCAAAGGCTCCCAGGCAAAGGAAGCTGGTGTTACTGTGCGGGGAGCTGCTGCTCCGTAGTGGGGCTAAGATCAGAACCCACATTTCCAGGCTCTTTCTGCTTTGCCTCTGTATTAGAAAATACAACTCAGACTTGGACAACCATAAAGTGTACATACAAGGGCCAAGTTTTTGCATTTTAAAGGTCCTTTTCTGTTTCAGAGAACAGGATGGGGTTCTTCTTTTTCTGTGGCCCTCGTCTTGAGCATGAACCTGGTCCTGCTTTAGTCTGATTTTTCGCTTTAAGCAAAAAGGCTCCATGATCGTCCAAGACATGGGACGATAAGAGATTCTCACCAGTCTCCATCTCGACTTTCTAATACTACCTTTCTATCAGAAACAATTCACAATTCTATGAAGGAAAATCTGAAATGGAGGGAGTCAGGCATGGAAGATAATTCCCAAAGTGATGAGAAGAAAGACTTCATTATTTTGTTGCTTTTTTCGTCTTTTGGCAAGAAAACATTTGATGAAGCTAGTTTTTTAGTGGCACATGCTTGGGCTGGAAATTTTAATTTCCTCTGCCAAGCTTCCTAAATGCAGTCATCCTTCAGGCTAGAGCCATCACAACATGAGCCATATTTACTTGAAGCAATAACATATTTCATGAATGCAGTTGCTTATTGACCTGGGGATTTCAACTGCAAGGAGACAAGGAATGTGGAACCGTGCTCCGCATAGAGCCGTGTGCTTCTCCTGTTGTGTGTGTGTAACAATAGGTTCTTTCATGACACAACTTCCTGGCAGTGGGTGGTGAAATTTGATACCTGGCACAAACACAATGGAATTATATAATACCAAAAATGTTGATTGTTTTCCTCCTTGCTAATTAACTCCTCTGCTCAAGGACGCACTGAGGATGAGGTCAGCTCGTGGCTTTGATTCTCCAATAGTTTCCATGCCCTTTTAGGCACTGTCAGAGTGGTGCGTGATTGTGGATGGAAAGAGTGTCGAGGCTGCTGGCACCCTCGAGGGCTTGGTGGCGGCTGACTGATTCCGTGGAATGAGGCTCTGCGGGGTCCTGCTTATCATTCGGGCTCTGGCCGACCAGCACCTCATGGCTCTCTCCCTCCTGGGTTCCATGGTCCCTGGACACAGGGCCCGCTAGTGTGGGCGGCACACAATTCTCTTTCAGAAGCAGTTTTGCCAGCTATATCCCTGGAAAGTGAATTTTGATAGACGTTGGAAGGCACAAAAACCCAGCTCAGTAGCTGTCCTCATCTTACAGATGAGGAAATGACACTGAGAGGACAGAAGCAGCAGGTAAATCGGCTAGAAGGCGTAGAGGTGAGGATCCAGTCCGACTGGTCTTCCCCAGCGCTCAGTCCTACCTGCCTCGGGACAGAGGACTCTACTCTCAGCGATGCAGGAGCAGCTGTAACAGGGTTTCCTGAAGGATAAGGATAATTTGAACAGTGGCCCAACAATGTACTGAGTGGTTTTCTTCTACCTTTTCCAAAATATTCTATTGTCATCGTATTGTTTTCAGAATGGTCACAAGCAATTTTATGACAGTTTTGAAAGATCCAAGAAGGAAAGGTGGCAGTGCTAACGCCAGGCAGCTATGAAGGTGGGAAGAGAAGCTCCCAGGCCCGGAAACGGAAGTGCCGCCCAAACATAACCCACAGGAAATCCATGAAACAAATGACTGATACATTTGCCAACACCGAAATTAGAAACTTCTGCATGACAAAAGAAAGCGTTGATAAAGTGAAAAGACAAGCTACAGGACAGGAGATGTTTTCAGCGCATGTGCCAACAAAAGTCCAGAGTCCAGAGCGTGTAAAGAGCCCCCGCGAGTCAGCAGGAGGGGGGAAAGTACCCTGCTGCACAAAATAGTCAAAAGTCTTAACAAGCAAGTCACAGAAGAACATAAACATCCGATAAAAATATAAATGACGCTCAGACTTACTAGAATAAATGAAAACAATAAATGTGTTCACACTCACCCATGTGGGAAGAATGAAAAAGTCGGACGCAAGCAAATGTTCCAAGTAAAGATGTGGAAAATGAAGACATTTTACATTGCTAGCTAACCTGTAACTCCACACAGGCACTTCTAGGCACGTGCCCTGGAGAAAATTTACTGTATTTGTACCAGGAGACATTGACTAGTGTGTTCACAGCGGCATTGTGTATGATAGGAAAAACTTGGGGTCAATTCAATCATTGATTTGTAGTACAGGTACTTAACAGAAAAAATACATTATACACGTATGAGTCTTAAAATCATCCATTGAAGGGCAAAAAGCAATTTTAAAAATTGTAAGCTCAGTATGACACCATTTATTTATATACATTTAGAGTCTAAACGTTGAAACCCAATCCCTGTGTTGGCATCAGAACACAGGGCCTCTGGTCATAGAGGCAGGACCCTCAAGAACATGATTTGTCTCTTATGATACAGCCCGGAGGGTTACCTCGCTGTCTGTACTGTCTGGTGTCTCACCTGACACCAAATTGCTGGCACCTTGATCTTGGACTTCTCAGCTTCCGGAATTGTAATAAACTCAGTCGATGGTACGGTACTCAGTTATCTATAAGCTACTCAGTTAATGATATTTTGTTATAGCAACCTGAATGCACTAAGACACTTTTATACATGTTTGAAATACTTAGCAATTCTAAAATTAATAATAAAAAAGGAGAAGGAACAGATTGGAAAGCGATTTAATTACTATCATCAAATTAGATAATTCCATGATCTAGAATTTAGTGGGAAGCAGGTACTAATATTTTCCTTCAAAGAAAACATTTAGGCTGTGGGCAGAGAACTCAGGAGGCGCGAGTGCTGCTCAGACCCCGAGATGGCTACTGTGCAGTGTTTAGGATTGCCTCGTGCAGGGACTTGGACGGGAGACCGAACTCCATCTGTCTGGAGTGGTTTAGGGTTAAGCTCCTTGCCTGGAGAATTTCTCTGATCAAAACTGGCACTGTGCTGGGTGAATCCGGCCTGTTCTGTGTTTCCTGGGAGTCTGAACCAGGGCCGAGGTACAGATGTCACCAGCAAGTTCATCTTCCACGGAGGCCAGTGCAGGAGCTGGAGGTGTGCAGCCCCTCCTGCAGCGGGGAGTGTCAGGCTGTGGCCCGAAGCCTCTCGGTGGCAGTGCCAGGCAGGACACTTGCTTGCTCACGAGGTCAGATCTTTTATTTTCAGAGTCCCTTGCAACTAAACATTCCTGGCTTTAGTGTTTTATTTTTTCCTACTTTTTCTTCTTCCACCACCCGGCAGTGTGATTCTTTCACCTAGAGGCAAAGTTTCTCAGGCAGCCCTGGTCTCATTCAAGGCAGTGACAGGCCTATTTGCTGAAGGCGAGCCCTGGGGAGGTCCGTACAGAGGAAACCTTTGCAGCGCCAGCTCCCTTGAAAGCCACAGATTTATTGACTGGGACTGACAAGTTGTTTTCCCGTTTGAAATTTGTAAATATGAAAATAGGGCCTAGATAGATGGATGCCTTAGGCACAGAAGTTACTCATTTTGCCCAACTAATAGCTAATTACAGAGGTGGAATGTCAGCAGACCAACACTCGTTCTGTTCCTAGTCTTCACATTTACCATGTGGTGAGTTTGAAGAAACCAGCATAAGAAAATATGGTGACAAGATGCAGGTGATAAACATGAAACATAACACCAGCGAAAAGTGGTGCCACACATCAGCAGGGCTTTGATCTGCACATGTCCTGTGCAGAGCCACCAAGAATGAGCCTGCCCCAGCGGTGACCTTATGGATGTGTGGCGTGGATTGTTCCTAGGGAAGAATGTTTTCTGGGCAGGCACCAAAACTGGGCAATTTTACAGCAAGTGAACGTGCGTCTGAAGCCAGGGAGATCTAGCTTGGAATTCAGCTTTCCTGGTAACTAGTTGTAAGACTTGGAGCAACTCTTGGACCTTTCAGAGCTTCTTGTCCTCCTTGGAACATGGGGATGGGAAGCACGGGGAGGTTCAGAGGACTGACTACCAGAGACGAGGCCTATAAAGCCCGGCCCGGGAGGTGCTGAGCTTGTAGTGAGCATGCAGTGAAATGCTGACAAGCTCCTCGATGCGCCTGACATGGTTGACAGCAGCCATGCACTGTGACTGCCTGGGTGGACATTCGAGGACTGTCTTCTTGCCTCAGAGGCTCTCTCACCTCCTTGTGGCTAGTATTTCCCAGAGCTGAAGGCTTTCTACCAGAAGTAGTGTAAGATGAGCTTCTTTGATCAAAAGTGCCCAGGAAATACAGGCCAGTGCATTTTCTGTTAGAAGAAAACGTTAGACATACTCAATTTGTAGCAGAGTTTAGTTGGGCCGTGAAGAATTTGCTTATCAGGTGGCCCCAGAACCGTCAGGGGTTCAGAGTGACTCCGAGGTCACCATGCAGCTAGGTAGCACTGGTAGACAGGAGAAGAGCAGAGACGAGCAGAAGGCGACAGTGAGGGGGGACAGTGGGTCCGTTAGCACTGGGCCAGTTGCAATGCCCGGTTGCCTGTGGCTGCCTGAAGCTCGAAGTTGGGTCCAAGTTAGGTCCGAACTCACCGAGTACAGAGAAAGCATCAGGCCGAACCAAAGTACGCACAGAGCAGCTTTAGGCCAAACTTAATTAAATTTAACAGCCCCTTTTGAAGATTTACAGCGCATACTTGCCTGACTGCTGTAAGGAAACGCATTCAATGCCATTTAATGTGGTGTTTCTAAAATTAACTGAGCCAAGGAAATCCTTTCGGCCTCGGTGCTGCTGCTGCTCCACAGAGCCCGAGTTCTGTGGCTGACTGCGTGGCTGTCCAGTCGTCAGCGGTGGCCACTCGGAGTCCAGTGAGAGGTGCTGACCGCTAGGCAGCCTCTCCCCACAGCAGCTTAGCCGGCTGGGTTTGCACTCAGGCACTCGGGGAACCTTCCCATGCCCCCCAGGACTCAGACAAGCAGAGCACCGAGCTGCTGTGCTCCCCAGATGGGCTCTCGGTCCTGGCGGGTGCTGATGGATGAGGGTGCTGGCATCACTCTGGGCTGGGAAGCAGGAGCACCGTGGTCGAGTGCTGCAGCAGCGTCTGGCAGCCAAGCCTTCTCTGCACCAAGGGCCGGGTTTAGAGCTGGCTCCAGACCAGGGCCCTGCACCCTGTGCTCAGGGCAGCCAGGACCCCCACGCACATCCCCGGTTGGGAGGCCCTGTTCCATCTGAATGGCAGCACCCACGGCACCAGGGGCCTTTGCTGCCTTTGCTGCCTGCCCTATGATGTGGCCTACGATGACTTTTTCCTCTCTCGTATTACAGTGACACAATGCAAGGAACAGCCTGGTGGGGCTGCTGCACTTTAACTTGCTCCTCCTCACCTGGGGCATCTTGCAGATTGAGATCCAGAAAGCCTGGGATGAGCTGGACATAGGGAGTGAGCAGCTAGGCCCCGACTTGGGCCTCTCCAAAGAGAACCTGCTGTGTATCTGGCCTGTGGACCTTTGGGCTCCAAACAATGCAGCCGATGTTTTGTCTCTGTTAGAATTTGCAGCAGGACTGTAAGAGGGCCTGGCAAGATTCTTACATCCATTTGAAAAATGAAGACCCTGAGATTCTGGGGAAGAGTGACTTACCAAAGTCGACTCACAGGGAGGAACCTGTCAAGCACTCTGTTTACCTTCTCGGCAGAGAACAGAAGGAACACTGCTGCGTTGTTACTGAGCCCTCTTCGGGTACTTACTGCCTTCTGTTACTGTTCTGTCCATGCCCAGCAGCACCCGGGGGCGACATCAGCTCCTGGAGGATAACATGGCATCACAGACATCTTTCCACCTCCAGCAGCTCTTGGCCCTGGGACCGACAGCACAGTAGATGTCTGATGAATGAATGAATGGGTTTTTGAGCCATTGAGTAACTGTGAGCAGAGGAAAACCTCCCGTGGGCCTGGAGTTTGTAATCTCATTGGTTGCAGCAATGATTCCTCATCTTTTTGGGCACTGAGAATCTGATGGCATCTATGCTGCTTCGCTCAGAAGGGCAGACATGATGTCTGTTATTCTACATAGGTTCTGGGGGTGTCTTAGGGGACCCCGAAGCCAGGTTCTATGGATTCAAGAGTGAATGCTCAGCTAACAGGGCTGTAGCCTTACATCAAAGACCTGTCAGATGTAGGTAAAATGCTTTTCTTCCATGATGTGCTTTGCCAGTGGAGCTCCTCTCCAAGCAAGGGACAGAGATCTATGTGAGTTAAAGTGAATTACACTTATTTCTGGTTTGTGTGAGGGGAGAAAGGTTATTGGGATGGCTTATAGGCCCAGTGGGAGAACTGGAAAGGAGTAAGATAAGAACCCATGGGCCAGGAACTTTAGTGGCTGGAGAGCCAAGGGTTTGGAGGTCATTACAGGGTTTCAGAGACATAGCCGGGGCTGCTTTGAGCTCTTGTTCCACAGGACTGCGATGAAGGAGAAAACGGCTACTTTCTATCAGTTTTAATAATAGAAATAGAAACTTCTGCGGAAAGTCTCTCAGGGCGTGCCCTCTCTTCCCACCCGTAAAAGGACCAAGCCCGGGAGGCAGCTGTTCGTGTTGGGGCATTGGCCTCACCTTGGTGCACAGCAAACTGAGGGAGCAGGGATCCCGGGGAGGGATGAGGCGTGGGCCGAGAAGTCTCTCCAGAGAGAAGGAAATATCGGGTCCCCGGTGAAATCCCTGCGGCACTGCCTAAGATGCGGTCTGTGTTTTCCGTATTTCCTCTTCTGGTGTCTTCCGCTGCCTGCGGCTTGGTGGGTGGTCCTTTGTCCTTCCTGGGCAACGCTTAGCTGCACCGTGAGCCTCCTGGAGTCCCTCCCCATCTATCTGGACTTAGTCCCTGTATTTGTTTCCAGGGCTGCTGTAACAAAATGCCACCAACTGGGTGAATAAAAAACAGAAAGTTACTCTCTCTCGCTTCTGGAGGTGAACAGCAGGGTAGGAACAGGGTTGATTCCCGAGGAGTTTCTGAGGGAGGAGATGCTCCCTGCCTCTCCCAGCTGGTGGTGCCCGCAGCCCTTGGCTTGTGGATGCAGCACTCCAGCCCCCGTCTCTGTCCATGCAGCACCTTCCTGTGTCTCTGTCTCTGTGTGGATCTTACCTGGTCTATTTCCTCTTTTTAGGAGGTCACCCATCATCTTGGAAGAAAAGCTGGCCCTTCTTTAATGTGGGTCACCCTAATCGAGCATCTCTGCAGTCACCTTTCCTGAATAAGTTTGCAACACTGCTGCAGTGGGGCAAGGGCTTCACTGTGGGCGGGTGATCAATCCTCCAACTGACTAGAAAGGGGGACAGTGTGGGCCACAAAGAAAGAAAGACAACAGAGACTTGTGTAATTGCAAAGGACATGGGGGGTCGGGAGGTCAGTGCCTCAGCGTGGGCAAAGACAGAGACACTCCGAGCTGGCCGCTATGAATGGGTGGACACAGTAATCGGAGGGAGCATCGGGTGACTCGGGCCAGTGGTGACCCTGTGCTGCCGAGGGTCTTATGCTGATGAGGACCCTGAGCTGGGCAAAGCTTCCTTACAAGAGCAGGCAGGATGAGTTAAGTGGATGTGGAATTTGTCTCTCCCCAGGTGAAACCTTTCTCTTTTTCTTATTACTACTGGAAGACCCAGGATGACTTCAGCTGATGTTCTCTTGCCCTTCAGCATCACAGCATCACGGGACCACTGAGGTCTCAGCTGTGACCAGCGGCAAAATGGAGTCCTATTTCTGCACACCATAGCCGGCTCTTGGGCAAGGGGACATTGGCCTCAGACAGCTGGAGTCAGGCTTATTTATGGAGCGATCTCCCCCCAGATCATGTAGAATGGCTCTCGGCACTTCACTGTGTCTTGGAGAGGCGCCCTTGAGCACAGGCCAGCGTCTCAGCTCAGACCCAGCCCAGCTCTTCCAGGCAGCCGTTGCCGATGGCCACAGCTCTGGCCTGCTTCTCCCCTGAGCCTCCCTATCTTGGCCACGTGGCTGCTCTGCAACCTCCGCGCCTTCTGCTCCCTGTGCCTCTCACCTCTCGAGAGTGTAGTCTTCCCGAGGGCGAGAGTCCGACCTTTTCAATGACCTAGAACATGAGAGTGCTTGAAAGGTGTGGGGTTGACGGAACGGTGACAGCAGCACCTGGGACCCCCCAACTGTGTGTGGAACCTTTCCAGACAGGGTGAGGTCGCCGGCTGGACGGTTTTCCTGGGAGGGCCCTGGCTCATGGCACCTTCTTTACTTGAGCCGGTCTCTGCCACCCAGACTCAGCCTCTGGACTCATCTTGGGGCCAAATGGCATTATGATGGAAAAGCTCCTTTGGAGACGTGTGCATATTGGTTCTCTAGGGTGCAGGACGGACACAAACATCTGAGGAGTCAGGAAAGCCGGTGTTTGGGCTTGGTCTGAAAAATCCTGCCTGCCCGAGCACTGAGCTCGGCTCTGGAGAAGGGTCAGTGAAGAGCAGAGGGATGGCAGGCTCTGTGTCCACTTTGGCACCAGGAAAGGGCAGGCCTGGGATGTGCTCTGTTTGGCCAGTAACAGTGAAGTGTCCCCAAGGCAGACTCCGAGAGACAGGAGAGCCCAACGGGAATCAGGAGGATTTACTTCAGGTTTTAGGCAAACACCGGCTCAACGGACTCCCGTTCAAAGGAAGAGCAAAGAACAAAGAGAAGCTCCAGTTTCCACACATTTGGGTGAGGGAGTGGTCTTTCTGGTGACAAAGCAGGTGAGTTTCCTGGAACAGGACAGGGCAGGCAGTTTTGTGACTTTGCCTTGTAAGGAGACAGCATCTTATGACTCATATGGGGACAGAGCGTCACAAACTTTGTTTACAGGACGGAGTTGTCAATTTCGTCTGTACTAGAACAAGGAGTGACAGCCTCAGGGTGGAGGGGGGACCCGAGGGGGGCTGCCCACAGCGGGAAGGACTTGTTTTCTTTAAGTCCTGCTTCCTCATGGGGCTACTGGGGGAAGAGCAGCTGTTGGCGGGGACCATGTTGTGTCAGTGTGCAGGGGTGCATGGTCCCGAGAGGCTTGCCAAGTGAGGGACAGGCTGCAGCCCACCGGGACGTGGGGCTCACAGCCAGAGATCAAAGCCACCAGGCACCTGGGTGGGGTGGTGGCAGCCACTGTGTCCAGGCCTCCCTGCCCAGAGCCATAAACCATCCCTGACAGGTGGCATCTCCGGCAGGCCGTATTTCAGCCCGGACTCAGGGACTTTAATGTGAGCCCATGCGTGTCTGGGGTGAAGTCGGCCGAGGCTGACGTGTGGCAGTCTGAATTTACGCCCTGGGAGGACAATGGGATCGACCGACTAGACCCATATGTGTTCCGCCCCAGCCTGGGGCTCAGGGAGCAGCACAGGGCCCGGGGAGGGACTGGGAGGGATTTTATTAGGATTCTAGCTAAAGGTGCTGAACAGACCCTCAAATAACAACTCCGGGAGATATTTTTAGGGCTCCTCCAGCCTCCTCCTCCTCTCTCATCCGTAGTTGTCATTGCAGCCTTGAGCTTGAAGGAATTTGTAGACATAAATCCACAAACATACCCTGCATTAGGAGACTGACACCTCAAAATCACTTCTTTGGCCTGGCAACTCCAAGAATTCGGATCCTCATGGCATAGCTCTGCATTTTGAACACAGCAGGACTCAGTTTCCTTTGTAGCTCTGTCCCCAAGGAAAGCTCAGGGCCCAGAGATGGGTAGCCACCCCGTCCAGTCCCTCCTGTCTGGCCCCTGCCTAGTGACAGGCCCGAGAATCAGGAGGCGGCCACACTGCTCCAGCCCTCCCAGCTCTGAGATCCACTTCCCTCCACTGGCGAGCACTGAGGAGATGCACTGAGGAGCTGCACTGATCCCATCTCTACGTTTCTGCTTTGCCCTTCCTTTCCCAACACGAGGAGTCTAAAATTCTTCCTTCAGGGACGGGACACAGTCTGCTTCAGGGTGCACGGGGCCTGACACCAGCCCCTTCTTGAGGGCAGACGTGCAGCGTGTGTGTGCTGTGGCTATGTGCCAGGGCCAGCGGGAGACAGAGAGCATGGGCAGCTAGCGCTGGGCACCTACTGCTGGTCCTCTTCCACCAGCCCTTGGCAAGTGGCCTTTTCCGCTGGCACATGGGCTTCCGGCCCACAGTGGTGGGCTGTGTGAGCAAGCATGCTCGGTGAAGAAACACACAGCAGTGGTGATGCAGGGAAGAGGGCTGCGATGTCGGCAAGGCACCCGTCAGAGTCAGAGCGAGAGGACTGCTCTACGTGGCAGCTACGCTGTATCTCGGAGCTGGCCTGAGGCTCGCCACTGTCTCTCAGCTGGGGATTTGCTCTGCTGGAATTTACCCGCACCTGTTTGCCTTTCCACAGACTGTTAGGATGACCAAAGGAGAGGACCAGTGTGAAAGCCGTTTACAGATCACAAATAACAAACTGTGTGTCGGGTTTGGAAAGCCGATGAGGGCTGTGGGGCTCACCTGGCCCAGCGCTCTTCCCAGGGAGGTCCAGAGAGTTCGGACACACACGCCAGGCTCGTGTGACGAGTGGTCCACACACAACAAGGTGGACCTAGGGAAATGTCCTTGGGGTTAGGAGCTGCTCCAATAGGGTCAGCTCTGTCATCTATCCCTGCAGGACGCCACCTCGGGGAGGTTCTGACTTGTTTTGTTTCCACCACAGCTGAAACCATTTTTGTAAATATTATTTCAAAATCATGTCAGCTTCCCATTTTGGGTTGGGATTTCTTCCTGCCGGGAAGTTTCTCAACAAGAACTCAGGTTCCCCTGTGTGGGCTTCCAGCCCTCTTCCCTGCCCACCCACCACACTCCAGGCCAGCAGAGGGCTTGGAAGACCCAGCTCCTAGGTAATGAAAAGTGGATTGCTGGCAAATTTCTTAAGATAATAACATGACAGGAAAAATAATGATCCAGTTTTTTAAAAACTGGCAGGGAGAGAATTGTCTTTTGTTCAGCAAGATACCTGGATGACACTTTGGAGCACGAAAGGTGAGCTCCCAGAGGGCTCGGCTGAGCTGGGCTGGATGGAGGCGGTTTGCACCTTGGCTGAAGAGCTCTGAAGACTCTGTAGACACGTGTCCCGCTTCCAAGCCCCTGATACCCTTGGTCAGGGCATCCGCATTTGCAAAATCTCCCAGGGGACGTGTGGCCAGGGCTGTGATGCCCCTGGGTCAGAGCCAAAGACATGGGCAGGGGAGAGTGACAGCTGGCCCCTGGCTGCAGGATAACAGACGGAAGGGGAGGCCCCGTGGGTGGCTGCGGCTCTCACAGGAGAGGACCAGAGGCTGTGAGGAAGGAACTCTGCCGTCCCAACACGGCTGTTGCTGGGCTGCTGGCGACCCAGCCCCCATTTAGCTCCCCTCACAGCGAGGATCGCTGTGCGCCCGTCCTGTGCTGTGGGGAGGGGCGGAGCCTTGTCAGCGCCAGTGACGGGCCCAGGAAGTGGGAGCAGGGACCAGCAATTCCACTGGAGTCACAGGGAACAGGGCCAATCAAAGAGCTGCGAATGCTCGTGCTTCTTGTGGACCAGGCATTCAAGGTGCTTGTACTCACGTCTCTGTGGAGCGTGCCCAGCCGCTGGCGGGCCTGGAGCTTACAGGGTGCCGAGAGGTGCGCCCCAGGGTAACGGCTGCCTCTCCCCCTCCTCCGCTGTCCTTCACGCCCGCCCTCCAGCCGGCCTGAGAGGAGGGTGAGGCCGGGGTTCACCCCCGACCCCGGAGGAGGCTGGTGTTCGTGTGCCAGCTCTGCGTCCGCCCCTGCTCTGCGAGTGGCCGTCGTTTGGCCCCTCCAGGCCAGGCTTCCGGGTTGTCCTGACCACGTCAGCCCCGGGGCGCCTGCTTCCGTTCGAAGTCCAACGTTCCTGCTCATTTCTCCTCTGACTTGTTTGTCCCCTCTCGCCTTTCTCCATGTCCATTCATTCCTCTCCTCCATTTACGCCTTTCCTCACCTACCTTCCTCCATCATCGCTTGAACTTCCCACGGCTTTAATCTCACTTGGTAACTGTCCCCCTTGATGAATCTATTTGTGAATGAGTTTGCGTGTAAAACACTTCCGGTCCTTCTTCATCAGGTGGTCTCCTCGGGTTGTCTATCGGGAGAGTCTGTCCTCTCCGTGGGCTGCGGGATCTCAGTCTCTGGTCCAGAGGCACCCGCTCAGCCCCTCCCAGGTTGGCTCTCAGCCCCCACGCTTGGTTGATAAGATACTCGTTTTGGCAGCTGGAGAGCACTGAGTCTACTAATGGCTTTGGTTGACCTTTGCTCTAGATTCAGGAGAGAGGAATGGAGACCCTTTTTCCCACATGGAAGTAAATAGCCGAGTGTAGTTTATGCCCAGGTGTTTGCCATATACTTGATACAAAACCATGTCTTGGAAAACTATAAGCCAATCTAACTAATAGAAATAAACTGAGTGAGAATCATTATTTTTTATTGGTACCACTTAATGTGAAGAAAAATGCACAATTTCCAAAAATATGGAAAAAACGTTCCATTTGCCTTATTGGGTCCAAATGTTAGGTTTAAATTATTTTACTATGCAAACTTTCTTTCATATCTTGGCAGTGGTGATTTCCATTTTTATTCCTTTGGTATCCATAATCTTATGAGAATCAGAAACACATGCTTTGAGATCACTGGACAGCTCCTCCTCCAACATTTAAAAAAACGCACAGGGAGGGTTATTGCTCTGGTAGCAAAAATAACAGAAACGCTCCGGGGGAAACTATGAGGACATCCAGACTGGATGGGAGAGGTTCAAAGGTGCCTTCTGGTTTTCATGCTTTTGATTTGCAAGTCATTAAGCTGGAAGAACCTCTGCCTCCTGCTGACTGCCACGAGGAAAGCAGTCCTTTCTTCCCCGGTAGAGAATGCTTAGGCAGTGGTCGCAGTATTGGAGGAGAATGGGAGATTTGGCTTCTCCAGTCCTGTTCAGCTGGGCACTGGTTGCTTGGGCAGGTGGGCTACAAGTGGAAGGGATTCCGGCCTCCCTTGGTCTCCAGGAGGTGGGCATCTGGCAGAGGGAGAAACACACGAGACCTAGGAATCTCAGAGATGAGGATAAGTCAGTGAAAAGGTTGAGAGCTTTGTGCTCTTTCTTGAAAAAAGAATTCTTAGAGAAAACAATGTAAGAATAGCCAAATAGTGGGCATGAGAAGTGGAAGGTGAGAGGGATGCAAAAGAAAGGCGAGGTAGGTGGGCGTTCAGCCTCCTCCAGGAGGAAGACATCGGGGCACCAGGCAGCTGTGCCCGGGTGCTGGGTCCTAGTCCAGACCTCGTATCTGCATGGTCCGTATCTGCACAGATCGGCATGTGTCTGTATCTTCTGGGGTCCTCAGCCAGCCATCCTGACTGTGACTGTTTGTACTCTCTCACTGCGAAGTTATGCTTCAGCACATCATCAGCAGGGTTCTAGTGCTAGGATGGGAACAATTGACATCACCAGTCTGCTTTAGGGACCTTAGATGCAGTGAGGGAGGGAGAGGGAGAGGAGAGAGAGAGGGAGGAAAAAGAAGAAGGCAGGAGGGGGGAGGGGAAGGGGGAGAAGAGGAGAGGAGAGAGGAGGGGAGGAGAGGGGAGGAGACAGAGGAGAGAGAGGAGAGGGGAGGAG